CCCCCCCCCCCCCCCCCCCCACGTATCCTTAACAGGTTGAGCAGTTTGATTGTTTTTTCTTAGGATTAGTAGGGTAAAGGTTTCGCTGGTTCGAGTATTCGATCATCGGTCTTAGATCAGGGGAGCGATCAAAGCTTTCCGAGTATGTTCATACGGCCTTCTGAGTTCACTTCATGATTCACTCAGCTAAAAAAAGGCTGAACACTGCACGCACTCAAGCTTGAAATAAATGCAACTTGAAAAGCGATATTTCCGCCAACTTTTGTTTGAGATCACGTCCATTAAGATGAATATGATATAAAAAGGTTCTGTGGTTGGCCACTCAAACAAGGTCACGCAAAATCGGTCATTGTTGCCGCAGGCACGAACTTAGTGCTGGTGTATTCCCTACAAGATTTGTTAGGAAACCGTTTCAATTTAGCTGCTATTTCAGCTACAGAGATACAGTTACTGCCATTTGAAACTGTTTGGTTTTTCCGTAAAATCATCAACAGGAAACTGATCCATTGGAAGTTATCGAACCTCACGCAATAATAGTGGCATCTTATTTGATTATTCGTGAAGATCCGTTGCAAGGGCTTCATCGAGCAAGACTGTGATTCAATTGTTTAGAGACAGAATCTGTTAACGAGTTCTACTTCGCCTTTTCATCAAAATGGCCTTAGATCTGATGAATTCTTATACGGGTGTAGGAAAGTCAACCATGAGTTCATTTCGTGAGAAAATGAGCAAGTTAAAACAAGAGGTAAGGGAAACAGAGGAGAAAACTAAAAAATGCAAAGAAGAGACACTGGCCGCGAGATGGAGGGAACATAACGCCAAGGTGCAAATGAAGGCGATGTCCGAGAGAATGAGCGAAATCGAAGAGCAAATTAGAAAGGTAGAGACTCGGATTGACTACCAAAATGGTAGAAGAAAAGAGGTTGCCGAAAAGTCTCGCGAAAACTTTCGAGTTAGGAACGACTTGGAAGGATCTAGCATCAACTTAAAGCAAATGATGCGTGACCTTGAAGAGGCCCAGCAACATACACTAGAAGTAAAGAAAATGAACAGAGGCTTGCAAAAAGTGGTGGCTATTTTAGAGCCGAAAATAGAGAAAGCAGAACGGCGGGAGCAGAAGGCTTTAGATCGAGCTTTCCTGATTAGCCAAAAGCTTACAGTACATCGCTACTTAGCGGAGAAGAGACCGGAAGAATTGCCACTTCCAGATGAAGAGATGAAGGCCCCAATGTCGGATCAGGAGGCTAAAATCATGAACATAAGAGGGAAGATTAAAGGTGCAGTTTTGCGGCGAAGAGGATTTGAGAAGAAGAAAGTTGCTCTGGAGAGAAAGATGGAAGTCATGCAACAGGCCATGGATAACTACAAGAGACGGATTCTTGATTTTCAAGTTAGCAAACGGGAATTGCTGAGCTCGAACTTCTACTGACAGAACTCGCTTTCCTTACTTCAGAAAAAAAAAATGGCTGATAATAATAATTGAGAGACACAGAAAAGGCTTCCGTTTTAAAGGTCCAAATTTCGCGTGGAAAAACTTTTCCTCAGTTTCTGATGCCATCACTAGGGCAGGCAAATGAGCAACATAAATGTGTTTATCTTCAGTTTGTGTTTGTTCAGGGCTATAATTAATCGAAGTAAGTTCTGTGAATGTTTAGTTTCAGTTGACCAAGTGATTAATTCATATTGACAGCATCGAACTTTACTGACTTTCTGGTACGTTTTCTATTGTTTTCCTTTTAATTGTTTCTGAATTTATTCACGAATGCTTCAGTAACTAACTTCGAACAGTAAACACTAAATAGATGACCTGTTGCTCGTATCAAGTATGAGACATGGCTGCAAATAATTATTGTTAGTAGAAAAAAAAAGAAAAAAAGGGGGAAAAAATACGAGAAAGGGTATGTCATTTCCACGACGTAAAAAAGACGGTCATTTAGGTTTAAAAAAAAAAGAAGCAATCCGTCTGATGTATTCGTATTTAGCGTGACCACGTCTTACCAATCAAGCCAACTTAACGCTCGTCTGGCACGTGCCCATTTTATCTTAGTGTTCAGTCACGATACACTTTTTCGTTGGACTATTTCTATTGGTTTGCTTGACCAAAAAGGCTCTTTCAATGGATCACGTCGATAAAAATAAAAGATAAATCAATGTGAGTGGATCACTAGACCGAAGGGATCCACTGAATATCGATACGGGATCATAGATCGGTTGATCTCTGTAAGAGCTTGCTCGCTTGGCAGCTGCGTAATAATAATACTTTAATCATGTAATCAATAATTGATTACCCTAAATTTCCAAAAGAACCGCCCCCCTCCCCCCCCTCCCCCCCCGCGCGAAAGTAGCGATAAAATTTCACAGGTGCAAGCAAATCCCGAAAGTAGCGACCCCACCCCCCGAAAATACCGACTCTCCGAAAGGTGATTTCCCTCTTTAGCAAGAAATAATGGAAACGCTATACCAAACTGACGAGTATTAAAGGGAGCTAACTGTTGCCGATGTAGATTATTCAACGACTGATTCTTCCTATTTGTTTTGTTGTTCAAAACAATAACATGTAAAGAACGCGATAAACTTATAATCCTAATCCGGTGTTCCTGTGGTACAAAGGCAGAAATTTTTAAGCTATCACGGGCGAGTGCCGATTAGCCGCCCCTATTAATTTTATCAGGGGCATCTCAGTCGCGGGAAACTGGCCGGGCGACTCCTTTGGACTCGTGTTTGTTTCCTTAAGTCTCATTTTCGTGCAGATGTCTTGCTCGTAGAATAAGACGAACGCGGATCCATAACCAATGATTATTACTAGTTCTAATAAAAAGTGTGTGTTTTCGCATTTATAGGGATTGTATTAACTTTGTATGGTACATGTTTTAGCAACCCGAAAGTAACGACTCTCCGAAAATAGCTACCCTTCGAAAGAAGCGACAGGAAAGTACTGCTAAATCCGAAAATAACGGTGGTGGTTACTTTCGAAACTTAACGGTAATCGCATTAAAAAATTGAGGTATCGGAGGTCATCTTGAGGTACCTGAGTTCATCTTGTCATCCATACCACACAAGAAGATCCATCCCCTCAGCCTTGGACTACGCCTTAGCCGCATCTGCTCAGACGACACTACAATCAGAACACGCTGTGATGAACTAAGCGAACAGTTACAGAAACGGGGCTATACAAGCAATCACAAGTACGAGGCGAAATCACCAAAGCACAATGTGTTACACGAGATCAAGCCTTACAACCAAGCCGCTCACAACAAAAACGTAGCCATGGCATCCCATTTGTAGTCACCCACAATCCAGCTTCTCCATACCTTAACAAGATCATCACGAAACACCTGCCCAAACTTCAATCTTCAAAAAGAGGTAAAGAAGCCTTTTCTGAACGCCCCTTTATCGCATACAGACGCCCACGAAATTAAACCAGTGCGTTTGACCTCTTTGTTAAGGCCAAGCTGAAACAAACAAAGACACCTACTTCAAACACACCTCCCATAAAGAAATGCAACTCCATCAGATGCAAAACCTGCCCTTTCATTAAAGACGGTATATCATCATGTACATTCAAAACCACTGGCCAAACTCACATCACTGATCAAGCAGACGATCACATCCATCTAAAAATCTCATTTTCATGATCCAATGTCGTAAATGTAAAAGCACCCCAAACACACCAGCTGAATACATCGGACAGACTAAACGAGCCTTAAGAGACAGATTTGAGGCGACGCGTATTTAGACAAGGTCTTCACAAACCGGCCGGATTTATTTGCAAAGAGAATTCCATACTTTGTGTCCATAAAAACAGATCACACAGCGGTCATTTTACCAGCAGGAACGAAATTAAAGCCGATCAGACAAAACGTTCGCATTAGGGATTGTAGAAAACACCGTAAGGAGGGATTGTACCTAAAACTAGTAAGTGAGAATTGGGACAGTGTCCTAAACTTTAATGATGTCGAGGAGGCAGTGAATAATTTGGAAGCAAAAATTAAACACCACATGGATGAGTGTATGCCGTTGCGGTCAGTGCGCATGTCATCGCGTGATCCGGTGTGGATGACACCCTTAGTAAAATCGTTAATGAGGGTAAAGTCAAGAATAGCTCCAAGTAATAAAGATCGGCTGGATTAGATTAACAGGAAAATAAGCGAATTGATTAGTAAGAACAGAAGAACACTCGCAAAGGCACCTGTTGGATGCAGAGAATGGTGGAAGCATGTAGATAATTTGTCCCAACGACGCAGCATTTCTGCTAACGTTACATTGGACACTAAATCACTGGAGGAGCTAAACGACTACTTCGCCGATTTGTGCACTGATGACGCATATACGAAGCCGGTACCCGCTATTGTGGATAAGAGCTTAGAAGCCCCTCAGATATCAGAAAGACAAGTGTGGAATTGCTTACAACATCTGAAGAAAACCGCTATGGGACCAGACCTCATTCCCTTTTGGATTTGGAGGGATCATGCTGAGATCTTCACAAGTGTCATTCATAAGATCTGGAATGTTTCCCTGAAAACTAGCAAGTGGCCCTCCTCGTGGAAAAGGGCCCACGTGACGCCCCTCCCTAAGATCGACATCCCGAAGGGCAAGCAGGACTTCAGAGGAATTAAGATTGCACGCGCGTTCGAGAAATCTGTGTATAACACCCGTGCACGAGATATTGTCGAACAGCATCTGAGTTCAACACAGTTTGCTTATACGACAGGGGGGAGTTGCACTGATGCGCTCTTGAGCATGCAGCACACCATGTACAGCTATTTAGACGAGCAAGACTGCAAAGCCGTCCGAGTATTTGCAATGGATTTTAGTAAAGCATTTGACTGTGTCAATCATGAACTCCTGTCATCTAAGCTTAGGCAGTTGCCATTGAATCCCCTTATTGTGAACTGGTATTTAAGCTTTCTCGAGAAACGCCAGCAGCGAGTAGTTTATAACGGTTTTGAGGGACAGTGGCGTGAGGTAAATAGGGGTACGACACAAGGTAGTGTCAGTGGGCCATATCTTTTTAACGTGTTTATTAATGACTTAGAAATCAATCTAGAAGGTCGCCCAGCCTTGTTTAAATATGCTGATGATTCTACAATTATCGTCCCTTTTTGGGGAAACGGCCAGTGTCGCACTGACTTGGTGGATCAGTTTCTTAGCTGGTCCAGCCGCAATCGCATGATATGCAATCCAACAAATTAAAATGCAAGGAGATAATTTTCCGTAAGAAAGGTTTCAGTCAGGACATCACGCCAGTTAGTAATATACCGCAGTGCGCAGAGTTATCCATATTGGGTGTTACTTTCCAACAAAATTGTAAATACAGCAGTCACGTGCGCGAAGGTAATTAAGGCGAACAAGTCATTATTCATATTAGGATCTTTACGTAAGGAAGGAATGTCCCAGGAGGAAGTAGATCACCTTTTTAACGCAATAGTTTTACCAAATTTTTCTTACGCTCTGCCGGTTTATGGTGCCTCAGATTCCGACCTTTCTGTAATACAGAATTTTTGAGACCGGTGTATGAAAAGAAAGTTTATGTCCAAGAATGTAAATATCAGGGATTTGCTAGAGAAGGCGGACAAGACACTCTACAAAAAAAGATCGAATGACCCTGAATGTCCGTTCTTCCACTTTTTACCTAAGGAAAAGAACACGAGGTACAATCTTAGAAATACGTCAGTCTCTGTCCCTAGAATCTACACTGACAGGTTTAAGAACGTTTTTAGTAACAGAATAATTTTTAGATATGATACATAAATATTTTTTGAGTTTATATTGTAACTTAGGATATGTAATTTTATCTTAAGAAATAAAGATTATTATTATTATTATTATCATTATTATTATTATTATTATTTTTGAAGAACACCGCAGAGCGATACAAAACAAAACTGAAGACGCAGTACCACAGCATTTCAATCAACCCCGACACCAGCTATCTCATGTGTCTTAATCGTTTCTCATTATTTGGCCCATTTAGTCTTTTACATCACCTGTGTATCAAATTTCCAACTGCTATTCGTCGTTTATAATATTTGAATGGTAACGATGTTTTTCCGATTCCTCATTAAATTCTCAAGTCCCTTTTCTCCTTGTTGTTCTGTTATTTATGTCTATATCAGAGGTCAGCCCTATGGTGGATAGCTCCAGGACAAGTTTAAATGAGAAAAGGAATCCTAAATATAAACAAAATTAAACGATAATACACCAATAGAATTTTTAAAAAAATACATCATGAGTTTACAATGAAGATAAAATTTTACAATTAAAACTCTCGTTATCTGAAAACATTGTCATGAAATACCCCCGTTGGTGAATAGTATGTTTCTTCAATAGTATGGATTCTAAACTAAATGTGCTTCCTCTATTTCCTTGAGTGCCATTCCACTGATTAACGACTCTAACAAAGAACGAATATCAAAAAAGTCTGTTGGTGAATTCCTAAAGTGTTAAACCGTGCCTAATTTGGGCCCATTTTATTTTTAATTAGCGGTGTACATGTCCAATCATGTCGAGTCTCATGTATATTTTTTGTACGCTGTAAAGGGACCTTCTGACTCCTAATTGTTGAGCAGTATAAAGTTGTTTGACAGAAGAGAGCGTTTTTGGACCTGTGACAGTTTGGGATTGCTTTATAATAACAGTGAACAATCCAAACCGCGGAGACCCAGGAGCCGGTACTTGTTGGGAATTGACGGGATTTTTATAAGCTTTTATATGAGGACGAAAGTTCCATTGACCTTTAAAATAAGACTGCAGCACGAAAGACTAAAACAAAATTAAGTCGACAAAGTTTCTGCGAAAAACTGCACATGATAGAAGTAGTTTCTGCTTTAAAGAATATAGTCGACAGTTTGCATGAACAGCCAACACGAAAGTGAGAAGCACGTTGCATGTTTTCTGTAGAACTGAAAGGATTACGACAGGTGCCTTTACTATAAAGCGGATTTTGGATTGTGTGAGATATTTCAGTAGCATTTCAAAGGTAAGTCCAGTAATGTTTACAGAGTACTTTACAATAAGTGACACCAAATGCCAAACGAAAACGAAAGTTTTGTAAAAAGGGCTCGGCAACACTAGCCATACATCATGATGTAAATTTATTTATAGTCACTCCCTTGTGAGTTTTTCAGATTTTCAATACTAATTGACAATTGTTTATCAAATCCAGGTTCTTGCTAAAACCTGTTACAATACTATGTAAAACTTACAATGAAATGAATGAAACCTTGAAGGTAATCTATTTGATCCTTGAGTCCCTAGGCCTAGTTTAAATTCCTGTGATGCTATGAATACCTAGCATCATAAGAACCAGGCCGTCAAATTCGCGGCAATGACTGAAACGAACAATCAAAGAAGTCTAATTAAATACTGAAGTTTATTACTGAATCACAGCGGTGGAAGTTAAAATTATAGCCGACACTCGCCGTTGCCTTTTGCCGGATTAGACGCGTAGGCACTTTTTTCGATCACCAATGGCCAGAAGATTGAACGTATGTAGCAAATTCCTTTCTCGTGAATTTAGTGAAACAAAATAAGAGGCCCCGTAAATGTGTAATTGTTTCTTAATTGTTTTATTTTAGGAGAAACAAAGAAAATGATATCTAGCGTTTAGTTTGAAAACAAATCGCTTTATTGTCTCGTGAAGATAGACCGCAACACGAAGTAAAGGTTTGGAAATGGGATACTTTTCCGGTGCGATCTATTGCTTGGAAGACCTACAATGGAATGTGTTCAAGAATTCGTAATCAATTGAGAGGTTTCTCACTAACTTTCGCCTGAAACGTATTTTATCCGACATCTAGACTCTTCAGTCAAAGTCGGTTAACTCACAAAAAAGAGCCAAAAAAAGATCACAAACCCGCTCGGCATTTTTGATTGTATAAGGCTTGCAGTGTCTCTTGATGGTATTTAAATTATACTGAGTCTTGTCATGAATTCGTTCATTCAATTTTTATTCTTCACAAGGGTTGGCAAATTATGTAAGCCGTGAATAAATTTATGGTCCTCAATCTTGGTTCTAAAACAAAAAACCAAAAGTATTGTGGCCGCTATGTTGCTAGTCTTTTCTTATTCAAGTCATTTTGAAAATCAATAAGGTCTCTAAGGGATGGTATATTTATTCCCTCGCATGCAGTGAGTCTTGACCCCTTGTATAAGACGAACCTTACCACTCAAAAAGCAAGTGGAAATTAGACAGAACTGACCCAGTGCCAACCTCTTGAGTTCCCCGTATTTGAGTGGTGACCTGGTCAAGTCCTATTGTCAGTACCAAAAGAGCAACTGAGCTACTTTCAGTTTTGTCTCACGAGACAGGTTCAATTTCCAGAAAGGTAGCTATTTTTGAGAAAAAAAATTTATTAGTCTTTTTTTTTCTGTTAATAGTTCCTTTTAACCGAGGCTGAGTGCAATATTTTTTCATTGCATACTTGTCCTTGCAAATTTCCGCAAGGCACCCTCATTCTGTTCTGATCGCTTTTGAATAAAGAGGGCCGTAGATTATCATGCAGTCAATCCCTATTATGACATTAGCCTGCAAAAACATCGCGACGAGAAACAGATGTTTTCGCAGGCTAGTATAACACCAATTCAAATGCCGAATTGATAGCACCCCTTTAAAGGAAGTTTGAAAGACTTTAAAACATAATAACAGTTTAATTTTATCCCTGTTTCATTGCTATAACACAGGAATCCTTTTGGTAACATGTAGTATAACGTTTGGATTTCACCTTGAAAATGTTGCAAGCCTTCGCATGTGCTATAAGCGGATTTTACATTGCGATAATTCTGCTTTCAGCTGATATCTGAGTTTTAGAATAGGACTTGACCAGGTCCCGGTGGGCCTCGAAAATAAGTCAGGAATTTGAACCCAAAGATAACAACTTGGACAAGCGGTTCTTTATATTGAGGTAGTGACCTGGTCAAGTCCTATTGCAAAAATAATATATCTACGAAGAAAATTTTATCGTGTTTCCAGACAGGTTTCATGTCCAAAAGGGCAGCTGTTTTCGAAAAGAAGGTTTTTTTTTTCCAGTTATCCTGCAATCGTTTTAACATAACGCGCAACATGCATCCGATAGGCACTCTCCATGTTTAATGATTGCTGGATTATTCTCCAGACATCATTCACGCAGTCAATCATTGTGGCATCAACTGAAATACCTGCTATTGGATTCCAACCCACGGAATTGATAACCCCTTGTGATTAAACGCGCAGTTACCATTTCTTCAAAGCTATTGTCACTTGAAGATATATTTTTTAACCATGTTGTTGGGCGCTGTTTTTCTGCTGGTTTCTTCTCTCTTTTTATTTGTCGGCTCAGTTAAAGGTATGGATTATTTAATCTAATTCTTAGTCTTTTTTTAATTAATCAAAATACAGCTGGCGAAATTTGTTTATGTCATTTGTGCCATGCTACACCGCCTGAGCTTAGCCCATTCTTTAATTTTGCAATCATTTTTACCTAGTAAGTATCTACGTCCAAAAGCGCTCTTCGTCGACTTATAAACTAACCAGACAAACAAACAAATCTTAGTCACACTATTATTCTGGACGTTTCCCAAATGACTAATTAATAAAAACTTCATCCTGGTCTACTTCTGGATCCAATTCTGGCAGCACCTTTTTGCAAGTGGCGAACTTTTATGCGAACTTTATAATTAGCATTACGCATCCAAATGGTGCATGCATCACCTTTTCATTAAGATCCAGGAGAATTGAATGTCCTATTCACAACATCCGCAAGGTGCAAATTGCAGAAAATTGCAGCTCTTTGCGAGAGGTCTGTTATTTTCTTCTTTCTTTCAAGGGGCGTTTCCGCGGGCGGCGACACGAAAGTAGGGAGTAAACCCGAGGTTTCCTTTTGCGTAAAACCGCAGGTTTTTTGTCTGTACGCGCTCACTTTCACTAAGAAATTGACGGGTCTAAGAGAAAAGGCGAACTGCAAGCAGTCTACTGTTCTCTTTAACATGTATTCATGCAACTTTTTTTTGAAAACGTCTAGCCGAACAGTTAAATTAATTGAAGGTTCAGTAAAGGCTTCGTTATCGAATGGGTATTTTACGGAGGTGAAATCATTGTATATACATGTAAAATCGACAGAAACGCGTTTTTGTTTTCCCTATCAAAGGAAAAATCCCACCAGATTGCCTCTTAAGCTGTCAGGAAATCGCGTGTAACAATCGCACACACAGCTTTTAGTATAGTAAGTACAATTAACACCACAAACGAGGACACAAATTATGGATCGGGCTGTTTGTACTTCGGAAGACTGATTCTACATTAGGCCCGTAGCCAGCATTTTTTTCGGGGAGGTGCGATCCAAGGAGGAGACAGACTAAATGAGCCGGTGGCACAAGTCTCTTGAGGGGGAAACTAGATTGTCTAAGGCTGTATTACGAGCTCTTTTGAAAAGCATTTGTATTTATCAAACTTTTAAAGTTCAAAAGTGAAAGACGCTACTTTATTTTACAATTTTTGCAGTGAGAATGACAATATCCATGTCAATATTTAAAAAAGAAAGAAACGAAAATAGAAAGAAAGTTGAAAATCCATATTATTCGCTTGGTTGGCGAGGGACTCATTGTAATCATTCCTACCTTTGTAAGTCTGTTTTCCCCCCTTGACCCCTTCTTACCACATGAATAGCGTCAGCATATGATAAAGTTTGTTGATGTTACTATCAAGTGATGTCAGTATTGTTTGTGACCCTGGCTATACTGTAACTTAAGTTTCTTTGAGAAGCAAAACTTTTTTTTTTTTATTAAAAAAGCACGCCGGCATTCACACAACTTTTTCTTGCTTTAATTTTCTTTATCTTCCTTTTTCTTCTTATTTTTTTTTTCTCTTTTTGTTGTCAGGAATTGAGAAGGGAAAAATTCACGTTACTGGAGGATGCCAATACGTGTCATTTAGCAACAGTTTCACCAGCGGAACACCTGTAAGAGTGTTCGTCTCGGTAAATCACGGAAACGAATCATCTGAAATTCATAATACTTCTTTAGTGTGGGTTGAAGATGTGACAACGAGCCGTTTCAGAGCCTGTGTTGTGAGGGGAGACCAGGGATCTAATGGGAACATCACCGTTGATTGGCTTGCATTCCAAGGTTCGCAGTCAGGAGTTGATTACGGCGAAACCAGATTTACCTTATTTACCACTGGTACAAAATGCAAAACAGTCACGTTCTATCAGGTAACGTCAATGTCTGTTCTAGGGAGTAAAGCTGTGAATAAAAAAGAGTTCGGTATTACTTCACTGACTATCATGCTGATAATATCGATCGTAGTTTTGGGAGTAATCAAAAACATGTTCAGCGCTTTATGTGAAAAATGTAGTGCATGGACGGCTTTCCGCAGAAACAATGGAAATGGTGAAAACGCAGTACTTTGTTTCAGTGGTGATGTGATGAGAAAAACAAATAAAACAATGTAAAACACCAATCTCAATTTTATTTTAGGTATTTTCATCAGTTCCTAGAATTCAAGTGACTGTCAAACATGAAACCCTCGATCAAATGAAGGACGCAATGAATGTGTGGATAGAAAGCATTTCAAGAAGCCAGTTTGAAGTTTGCTTGCGGGAGTCACGGACATTTGGTGGAGCTCATAACGGCCTTGTCGTGGTACATGTTACTTTAATTTTGAACGATTTTAATCTATTTTTTAAGTGATTGCAATCGCCTGTGTACAGTCGCCCCCCTCCTCTCAGAAAAGATCTCCCGCTATGATTGCAGTTAGCTCAAAGGGAATGCGTAGCTGATTGATTTGATTGACTTGGCAAGTAGGTTATACTGTTTCAGTGGTAGTCACTGAAAATTTTGGGGTGGAAAGGATTTGAGAAGTTTTAAGATGATTAGAGAATAAATTTCCCTTATTATTATTAATAATATTATTATTAGTAGTAGTATCATTATTAGTATTATTATTGTTATTTATTCTGTAGAACTGGATGGCATACGAAGCGTTTCCCTCTTCATGGGAAGCTAAAGAGACCTCCCTTGTACTATTCTCTGAGAACGAGGTCCCGACTATTGAAAACAATTTCGCGTTATGTAAGGTGAGTGTTATTAGGTGATCAGCGTAATAGATTAGTCGATAGAATAAATGGCGAAGCAAAGGACGCAATACTCGGCCTTCACCCTCAGTGGATAAAATCCTCCGAGATTTGCATAATTCTTCACATCATACGAAAGCCGAATGCAATAATTATTTTATTATTCATTCAAAATATTTTTAAGTTCCTAACAAGCTTACCTCCTCGAAGACTTTCTTCTAAACTCTGGCTTTTTTGGGCACAGTTTCAGGATATAAACATATAGGTTTTTGTTCTGCAGACATTTCTTCAGTTAAAAAGTAGATAACATATGTCGAGCAATTTCTGTGTATTCTTGCTTTCCTTCCGTTCAGTTTAGTCAGACATTGGGAACGCTTTTTTTAGTTCACTCGTAAATAAACAGCGGATCTAGAGATGCCAACCNGCAAACCTTGTGTGACAAGCGTGACAATAATTTTATTTGAAACAACTTTTCGCCAAACTTCACTTTCCTTTAAACAGATCTTTTTGTAAAGGAGCAGAAAACCTTGGTGTTAAGTGAAGATCACGACAAAACCCACAAGTGATAGCCCTGTCACGTTTGTCACACACAGCTGTTTTGCCGTCCTCTTCTTCCTGCCGTCCTGTTGCGTAAACTCACTATTACGTGATCAGCGTAATAGATTAAAGGACGCAATACTCGGCCTTCACCTTCAGTGGATAAAATCCTCCGAGATTTGCATAATTCTTCACATCATACAAAAGCCGAATGCAATAATTATTTTATTATTCATTCAAAATATTTTTAAGTTCCTAACAAGCGTACCTCCTCGAAGACTTTCTTCTAAACTCTTTTTTGGCACAGTTTCAGGTTATAAACATAGGTTTTTGTCCTGCAGATATTTCTTCAGTTAAAAAGTAGATAACATCTATCGAGCAATTTCTGTGTATTCTTGCTTTCCTTCCGTTCAGTTTAGTCAGACATTGGGAACGCTTTTTTTTAGTTCACTCGTAAATAAACAGCAGAGATGCCAACCTCTGGAAATCAAAAATCTGGAGACTTTTTATTTTGCATTACCTCCCCCCGCCCCATAAGCACAATTTGATCCAGACCCTAATCTGCTTAGGACATTATATGAAGTCTTACATGAGTTACAGATCATCACAATTCAGTTTTATGGGTGTAATGGCGAAATAATCTTTGTCAGTGATGCAATACGTGCGAAAATGCCCCAGAAACCGAACTTTGAATCAAAGACAATTCGAATTTTGGTAGAAAAGGGGATAAATTCCAAAGTAAAGCACAGAAAAGCTCAAAACGCGATTTTATGCGGGAGATTTGGTGACCCGTACGGGAGACCGGGAGATTGTTGTCGTATCCGGGAGAGTTGGCATGTATGAATCAGTTGGACCGCCGCGCCTGGAAATGAGGTTGATCGATAATCTATTGCCCATGCAACCCCGTTTCCAAATCAATATAACACCGATCAAACTCGTTTCCAAGTCAATATACCATCGAATCGATGGTATATTGCTCGCATCTTTCAAATTTGGTCAACGCCAGTTGAAGTTTTGAAGAATTAGCAGGGGACCTTGAGCCAATCAGAAGCGGAGAAATAGTTCGAATGAATAATAATGTATTTTAGCCTCATTATCCACTACTTATTCTCCATGCTCAGTTCAATGCGAAGAAGGTTATCTGTATTATTTGTAATAATTGTTCCTTGATAAGAACAGTTCTTGAACATCTCAAAGTTAATTAAGAAGTCGTGGTACTAACACGAGATTGTTGGCTGTAATAATGGTTATTCTTCTTGTAGAATGTTACTTTTAAGAAGCCATTTTACACGCCACCAGCGGTGCTAACAACTGTAACCAATTATGGAAGTAACCGTTCCAACAGAGCGTGCGCAGTCAAAGGTCCATTAATGAGCTGGCTTGAGGTAGGTGACTTTTCTATTAACCATACGTTAACTGATTCATATATAGTAACAAATGAGAGAGAATTTTAGCTCCCCGGGGGGGTGGGGGTTTACTCCGGATTTCAAGTGACGGTGATGATCGAAGGATTTTTTTGGGTTTGAAATTTTCGATTCGGGTATTTTTTTTGGGTCAGAACGTTTTGTGAGTATTTTTTGGTTGGCTTGTTTTAAGTAGGGACTTTTTTGGGTATGTATAACAATCTGTAGATTGGTAGTAGTGCCCTAGTATCCCAGCCGCAAACACAAACACTCAATTTCTAACCTATTTTTCGTGTTGTATCATTTAAGTGCTTTCTGGAAATTTGTAAGGCTCAAAAATTCGGTATAGGGTTTTTGGGGGGCTTTCTTGGAAGCCCTAGGGAGTTTTTGGGGTTTTGATTTTAGCAGCCATTCGATCATCCCCGTCGCTTGAAATCGGGAGTAATTTCCTCCCCCCACCTCCCCCTGGGAGTTTAAAACACACTTTTATTATTTAGTGGCTGGGTTTGATCTGTACGCGACTGCAAGTACTCTAAAACACTTCTACCCTAATTTTACAAATTTAAAAGATCAACAACTGAACATTGAGTAAACCATGTTTACTTTGTTTATTTCAAAGGAGGTGACTAAAACTCACTTTCGAGTGTGCATCAAAGACTTTGCGGGATACGATGGTCAGAGAAGCGATGCAGCCGTGGACTACTTGGTTATCGGAGGTGACATTAGCTACAATTTTTTTTATTTCTGTGACTCCCAAATGTTCCATTCATGACGCCTCTGAAAAATACTTCATCTAAAAATTAAGTAACCAACGAGTGGATTTCTTTAGGTATCCATTTAGTTACTCCTCTCCCTCCAAAAAAGCAGGTTTCTACAACTGAACCCCCCGTCACTAGTCATGTATTGAAACTTTCTCAGATAGATAATAAACCGACTCAATAACGCTGGATTGTACTCTTTTTCAGTCTTTACCATATTACATCCTATAGCCTGTATAGCCATGAGCGTGGAATATGATGAAAAATCACAGACTTTAGACCCAAGACGCTGTCCAGCATTTTTAATTTTCTACCCCAGTTCCCAAATTAGATTTTTTTTTTTTCATTAGATATTGATCCATGTTACAATGTAAGCTGTAAGTACTACAGTCATTGCAAAGCCTCTTCTGCACAACAGTATTCATGCGTTTGTGAAAGCAGCTGCCCTTCGTATGATGAACAGGTGTGCGCTTCCAACGGTCGCACCTTCAACAATCTGTGCTTGCTAAAGAAAGAGATTTGTGAAACACAAGGAAACTACACTCAGTATCATCCTGGCAGTTGTACAGGTATTTGAGTTCAGTCTAATTTTAATAACGAAGTTCTTTATTTAGGTTAGCATTTGGTGTTGTCTTCCCTTTTTCTTCCATTCGCTTTCACTTTTGTTTCTTTCAATATTTATTTTTTTATATAGGATTTCCAATGCAAAAGGGAAGGCATGAGTTCCAAAATCTTCCATCGTGGGCAGAGGATCAATGTGAGGCCATTCAATTCCAGCCATACATATTTTACCCCCACCAGAAAATCCATATTCAGCTCACTGTTAACCACGTCAACTACACTGATGCTGCATTTGTACACGAGGCTGTTATACCTTGGGTTGAAAGTGTCAACAGCACTCAGTTTACCGCCTGTGTCACTCGAGCAGGAAGAAATGACTACCCTGCAGATAGCTTTGCCACTGTTGATTGGATCGCCTACCAAGGGGCTCCCCCTGGAGGTGTGGCCGGGGAGGAAAAGTTTTCTCGATGGTGGACTGGAACTAGTTGTCAGACGGTGACATTGCCAAACGTAAGTGGACGCAAGGGAAATTAAAATTTAAAAAACAACCTAGCAAGGTTAAGAGATGTTCAGAAGGGACTAATGTCATTGGAAAAATTGGGCTTATTATCTGATTAATTTTTCATTGTTACCATCAACCCCTAGGTTACTTTCAATAATGAATTGGTGCGTTACCTTTTACGGCCGACGAAGCAACAAATAAAATTTGTGTAAAATTGTATTAATCGTTAGAACTTGCCAAGATGAATGAAATTCCTAGTTTTGGATTAAAGATGCCATCTAAGATAGGCGGCCAATCTTGCGAAACGATCTCAACCCTATTCGAATCTTTTTAAAAAGCGGAATGTAGAACGTATTTTGTTTGTTCTCGTACATTCTCTAAAAAATTCAAATTCCAACGAAATGAACTGCCATAGAGCCTGAGCTACCTGTAATAAATAAAGTTGTAGGGTAAGTGTTCAGAGTTTACAGACATTTCAATGCCTGCGCATGAAAACGTTACAACAGTGATCATGATTTTGTTGTTGTTGCTGTTGTTTTTCTCAAGGGAAAGTACACTATTTCACCAACCATATTCGTAACAGCAGCACATCACAGAGCACATCTGAGACACGATGCCGCCACTGTCTGGCTTGAAAGTGCGTCCGCAAGATCCTTCAAGATTTGTATCCGAGAGCTTCAAAACTTTGCCGGAGTTCATGACGACATTTCTGTGGTAAGCTTATAATGGAAATCATGTAACAATAGATTGTTCTACACGGACATACTCACTTTCACCTACTGTACAATGTCATATTCTTTTCTTCCATTTTTACATTTGCATTTTCTCAAAGCCTGCAGTGCATCCATCGTAGTTTGAGGAGCAGTGAGACAGCGAGAGCACAGTATTTCGTAATTCCTGCAGTCGCCCTTTTTCAATTTTAAAGAAGAGGAACATGGTAACAGTATAGTGCTGCCTGTCACTATTGCATCTTTAGTTAGTGCACCACATCGTGAGCGACTTCTACTGTGCTGCTTCCGGGGGATACTACCTATAATGGCCTATACGGGGAGGCTAGCGCTCCGTCTGAAAGGGGTACCTTTTCCAGGCTTCTGGTATATGAAAGGATAGGGAAATCTGTAGACTTTCTAAAAGTCCTTTATTTTTCTCCTGGTTGGTTCATCGCTCGCTCGGTCGGTGCGCAATCTCATGTATTGAAGCTCGCTTCGCTCATTTTTAATGACTTGTAAGAGGTCGACTTGTAGCAAGTCTAGGAAATCTGTCATTTCGGTCTGTAAAAAGGCCCAAAAGGGCTACCAGATGCGTTTTATGGCTGTGAAAAAGTCGAGAAAAAGTGCTGGTTTTGTAATTTATTCATATTTAAAAGTAGGATGTTCACAGGAATACAAAGTTCTAATCTAGAAACATGAATGGGTTAACATTTGCCAATAAAAAGTACAGTCAAACCCTCTTCAATACGAGCACCAAAGGGACAGAACCAAGTGTCCGCTTTACAGAGGTGACCGTATTATAGAGGTAGGGATGGATGATTTTTGGAATTTCTGAGACCAAACGAACTGTCCTTAATGGAGAGGTGTCCGTAAGGAGAGGTTAGACTGTATACAAAAAGAGCTACCTTTTTTGTCAAAAATGGTAATATATAAAGGGGTAAAGGGTTGGACGTTGGGACGGGGCTCCCCGTACAAACTTTGTTGAGCAACCCCCGGGTGCACTGCTCCCCCTCCCGTCTCTCTTCCTCTCTCCCTCTCTCTACCCACCCCAGACATTTTTTAATTTCTTTTATTGTTTCATTGCAGAACTGGCTAGCGTTCGAATCAATTCATAGGCCCTTATTCACAGAGCATAATGATGTAAATTTTCAAAACGGAAATGTACCCTCGAAAAGCAATAATTTTGCTTTCTGCAAGGTATGTAACTAATCCCTCCCCGTAGCAAGAAAGCAAGACTACTAACGGGGATAAGTTTGGGAAAAACAAGTCTTTTCTTCAAAACAATTCGTGGAGACTCCAGCACTTAAAAGTTATATCCTTTTGTGATAATGTAGAGTTTCATAAAAGAAACAAAGTAACTTAAATGCGAGTAAAGTTTCTGTTTTATTTCTATGGCAGGACGTGAGTTTCGTACGAAGTTACATCAATTTTCCAACGGTGCTGCTAACAGCCAAACATTCTAGCAGTGGAGGAAACGCGGCCCCAGAATGCAACGGAAATGTCAGCTGGGTTGAGGGCCATATTCTATAATTTCTACCACAGGCAGACCATCGTTTGAGTTATAGCCTGTGTCAACCAACACGCTCGGCTTGATTCAAGTGATCGGGCAGAAAAACCGATTTTTGCAGCATTTTGATCCCCCAGTCAAAAGTTGAAAAAATGTAAAAAAAAAAAAAAAAAGAAATGAAAGAAAGAATGGTGAATGATTTTTACTTACCGGTTGCTTTTAGTACCGTCTTCTGCGCGCCTTTTGGTGGCCAGTTTTGAGTCGCTTGAAATTAGCGCCCCGGATAACGTTTTTCGTTGTATTACGTATCTTGTCGGAGAGCCAACTTCAAACCAATGCAAACGACTCAAAACGCCACCTAAACCCAAAAGACCACACTAAAAGCAAAACATAAGTAAACTTTATTCATNGCAGTCACGACAAGGCACGGTCTGCTTCACCTGTTACATTTGAAACCATAAATTTAGAATATCGATACAAACAATCGCCTGCATACTTATAATATACACTGAGTAACTAAATTTATTACGTAACCAAACCTTAACTACCCCCCCCCCCGGTTAGCTGTATTAGGAAAGCCCTTGACTGCTGACTGTGAATTCGTGCAGCCAGTGCGTTGGTGTCTACAAGAACTTGGTGTCTATGACTCCTCGTATTCCGTTACGGTGGCGGGGGAGCGATGGTTAGCAGGCTCGCTTGTTTACTGTTGCGCTACTGTCTTAAAGAAACGTAGTACTCGTACTCTAATAATATCTAATGAGTTGGTCGTGAAGTGATGCATATTCAATCTCAGTCTCCTTCTGAATAACAATCTGCCCTTTTCTTGTCACGGAAAACATACATTTATTTGTGAAAACATTCCTTTCACAAACTTTTATCTTTTCCTTGACTTTAAGTTTATCAACAACTCTGGATTTCGAATTTGCGTCAAAGAACTCTTTGTTCAGCAGTTTGATCCACTGACTGTATCATATGCAGTACTGGCAGGTATAATGAGATCCGTTGCATTCAGTATAACAAATAAATATTGAATAAAAACTGCTCCTATATTGGCCGACTATTACTGACAAAAGCACTGATGGTGTACTTTCTTTAGTAAGTTATGATGATTAAGTGTTATTAGGCAGCGATTTTACTTGACAATCAAAGTCAATATTAAAGCAGAATCATCATGTGAAAGGTAAGCTACGTTTAGAGGAATTATTTTGAATTCTTAATTTGGAATTAATGATATAAAATGAGGAAACAATTTTCCTGGTTTGTTCTTTAAAACAACGAAAAACCGATACTATTTGACGCCTGCAAAAATTTGTCGCCTCATGGGAATTAAATGATACTTTCTGCCACTGATTCGTTTATTTTGGTAATTAAACTAAGTGGGGTGCAATTTGGTCTGAAATCATGCGCGTAATCGCAAGATGAACGAGCGGGTGAACGCGAGTTCGATTTGAAATCACAAGACAGTATGGTTTCAGACCTAAATTGCACGACACGAGTTTGAAAAACCACCGAGTTTGAAATCAGGAAATATTTTGAATCCTGTATTGAGGGTATTAAATTAGATTAAATTTATACAGGATTTTAGTCGGTACCAATATTTTGTTAAACTAAACAGAAATGATGCGATTTAGAGTAACATGGTACAAATTAGAAATGATGCGATTTAGAACCAAAAACGAAGTGGTATAGATCAATAAGAATTGCTTTTTTGAACAAAAATGATGTGATTTAGTACAGATGTGTTTTAAAGTATAAAACATAGTGTGATTGATTCCTGAATATCTCACACTGCTGGTAGCCAATCAGACTGAAAGGATCCAAGGCAATTTCAAAATGGATGTAATAAATTCGATTATTATTTTACAGACATATGTCCCAGCGACTGGACCTATTTTGAAGGGTACTGTTACAGAAAAGTGTCATCCTGTGATTCGTGGAGCGGTAGTCAAGGAAAGTGTTCAGTTCTGGGTGCTAATCTTCCCAGTATCCACAATCAGGAAGAAAATGTCTATGTTCAAAACCTCCATGGAGGGGAGCATTCTTGGTTGGGCCTCACTGATATTAATTCTGAAGGAACGTTTGTTTGGAGTGATGGAACTTCTTTTAACTTCCATTACTGGGCAAGCCACCAACCAAACAACTTCAGAAATGAAGACTGTGTCCATACCCTTGGGTTTCTCCGTGGTCACGAGTACAAGTGGAATGATGTCAATTGCTCTGACTGTCACAAGTTCACTTGCAAGAAAGGTGCCCCCTTAACTATGTAGCAAATTGTACTGCTATAACCAGCCAAGCAATTCGTGAACAAAACGACTTTATCGGTCAAAAATGTTGTGCAGCTGCAAACTGTAGGAACCGATTGGAAGCAACTGACCAATCATGTCTCTTGCATTTCAGTCATTATAGTTCGCATCTATGACCTACAGTATCTGTTATGTTCCTCCTAAAATTGATTGCCTTGAATTTTTCCGTAGTCCATTTTTACTTTCTTCGTCCATCGTCATGCGTTTTTCATAGCCGGAATAGATCAAGAAAGGACTAACTGGAGTTTACTTACAGTGTGCATGCAAATTCTTCTTCTTCTTCTTCTTTTTTTTTGTTCTGGAATCGGTGTACCTAGCATCGAAGATTCCCTCAACTAAGGTAACAACCAGTAACAGTTAGATTACTTACTGAAAGATTATTTCTTTAATGGTAGTGCTATTTATTTCAAATTGATTCAATTCAGATTATAACGAGTGTCAAGGCTTCTCGTACGACTGTCCAGTGAACGCCACCTGCGTGAACAATGATGGTTCTTACACATGTCGATGTCCCTCTGGATATCGTTTTAGTGGAAAGAACTGTACAGGTGAGTAGCTTTAAATACCTTAAATATCTATTAGATGAAAATGACAAAAACAGCGAATTAAGAACCGATGCAGTTAATTTCAGAAATTTTGACATTGTAAGGCAATTAAGTTCACCATAATGTGTAGAGATTAACAGCACCATGGACATGTCCTCATATTATACACGCAGTCTTCCTCACAGAAGACTTCTCAATTCCTTTATCAGAGATTACAAATCCGTGGATAGGCGCATGACCTAAGTCAACGCTCAGTTATTGGCATTTATTCTAGAAGAAGGTATTTGAAACAAGGAAACTACAATTTGTTTGGGTTCCGGAGACTCCTGCGTCAAATTTTAATCAGCTGTGCATGAGTTATCGCGGTTAAGAGCCGGTCAAGGGACGGTTGTGTTTGTAGCCTCCGAGAACACGTTAGCAAGGGGTTGTCATGATGAATCTTTGAATGTGAATAGCTACCAAATCGCGCGCTTTCCAGTGGTTCGCTTTCGGTTTAGGAAAAGGACTGTGTTATCACCAGTATTGCGACTATTTTACCTTTCCTTCCGAGTAAAACTACTGCTATAAAGACACCATACAATTAAAAAAAAGCTTATTGTGCCACGTCCTTGGAAGCGTGGACTCGGATGCAAAACGTCTTGGGAAGAATCATTCCTCAAACCCGTTTCTTTTACAGATGTGAACGAGTGTCAAACAGGATCATACTCTTGCCATGCTCAGGCTCAGTGTGTCAATGTTCCTGGCTCCTACTCTTGCAAATGTTTACCAGGCTACACCGGTGATGGAAAAAGCAAATGTGAAGGTACATATTTCCAAATTCAATAAATATAAAAGACTGCTATATTCATCAAGTCAATGTATTTAAGGGACTGGCCATAAGTATAGGGGGGTGTGCCGGGGACAGAGAGGTGGTGGGTCATCCGTTTTTGAATCCTTTGTAAGGGGTGGGTCGATCAATTTTCAGCTGGCCTTTAGGGGTGCAAATATATAATTGATACTAATAAGACAGTTAGGCCACAGATAATATATAAAACAAAGCAATCTGGAATTATTGCTTTGAAAATTATCTTAAACATCTTCTGTCTTTTTTAAGGCAATTTTAATGCAATAAAATGTATAATGTTTGGATTTTACATTTCATTGCTGTTTAACATTCTCCTAACTTAACGTCTCGGACGTACAAGGAGTGGGAGGAAGCGGGGTGGTTGCCAATCCCCTCTGTTGGTTTGTTTTATACGCCTCCGGTGGGGCGTACAAAACAAACCAGCTACGCGACTGACAAGCCAAGCCAACGACTTCGTAACGCTAAAAGCGATGCAAGAGAGAAACCTCTGCTAGCAGCGTAATCATTATATAAACAAGAACGAAGAACTTTTTATATTTTAATTTTTTGCATACTTGTTTAATTTTGTTTTGTGATGGTGAAAAAGGGAGTCACCACTTTCATCTCATTTGATATGCGTGTTAACTTGTTCATTTCCTTTCCTCTCTAGCTGGTAGGCTAGGTTTTCCATTAACATTTAACCATTCCATACACGAATGGTCTCTCCAGAGGAGACGAGAGAAACATTTTCATTTAATTCTAGGTACTCATCCCACAGGCAGCCGAAGTGTAGTCCTTAAATGACTGTTAACGTGAAGGATTTGTATTTGAATTGAGTCCAGGTAATAAACTCGAGAATTTAAATACTCACTGGAACTTCCAGTAAAAAACGCTTTACCTTGTTTACTTGGTTTGTTTTTGCTTGCTGTGTGGTTATCAGTTTCCAATCCGCTTCGATTTAAGCGATTTCCTTTACCCGAGTTTTCCGACTACTACAGAGAGGACTGCTCCCTTCATACGGCAAGCAAGAACAAACCAAGTAAATAAGGTAAAGTGTCTTTGATTGAAAATTCCAGCTATTGTTTATTTTCTTGAATCTATTACCGATTTCCCATACAATCCTTCATGTTTATGGCTGTTTTGGGGATTAAGCAATATGATACCAGACGTATTAGAGTTTTAGCCTGCGTAGAAAGCGTTTGAAAGTGAGCGCAAGAAGCAGGCTATCTGAGCTTGGGCTACCTGTGGTCATCCGGGTCACGTAAACTCAAAGTAAGTATATCACGTGATGAGCTAACAGTTTGAACGTGAATTAAATGTGATTTAAAAATCAAATTTGCTTTTGCCTTACACTTTTGTGACAGTTCCTACAATGACGGCTACAAGCTCCTGCTCTAATCTTCTTATGCGTGACGCCAGCAAACCAAGTGGTACGATTTACTCAACTGGTAGCTCTAGCTCGACATACAGTAGTAATATGGATTGCCGATGGAATCTAACTTCGAATGCAGTGATTGAACTTTTGTTCTACGATTTCGCCACCGAATCGTCAGCAGACTATGTAAGTGTGTACGATGGTGACTCGACCTCTGCACCTTTGATTGGCCGATTTAGTGGAAGCTCCCTCCCAGCACCTATCACAAGTTCGTCCACCAAGCTATATGTGCGGTTTACGTCTGATGGCTCTTTGCAGTATAGAGGATTTAACGCGCGTTACCGAGGTATTTTTATTCGTAGACAATTTGAATAGAAAAAGCGCTGGGATCTTTATTAGCGAGCTTCCTGGTTAGCATGATAAGAACTTCCCAGGCTTACACATGAAAAAGAAACAATAATCTAACAATATTTAGTTTCGGTTCAACCTTGTGTACGAAATTAGACTTTGACAGGAGCCTATGATGGGCTCCTGACTTTGACTGTATATCTAGGTGGAGTTTTGAAAGCGTTAGCCAAGAAACTATCTCCAAAGTAGCCAATATAAAAGCTAGGCGCTTTTTTCTCTTTTCCTCTTTTCTTTCCTCCTCAAAAAGTCACGTGATATGTCACGTGACTATTTTTTTTCTAAAAATCTTAAATGATTGACAAACTATAGGTAACGGGTTTAAGGAAAGAAATCAAGCAATAACATTTTTCTCACTCGTATTAAATATTTCTAACACTCAAAGTCAAAGATTATTGAGAGATTTTGCAAAGTATTCAAAAGTACTCCGAAAAATAGCAAGAAGCTAATCTAGGCAGTCTTACACAATTAACAAAACCATAGATAAGCGGGTAGTATGAATATATATGCGAATATAGATCATCGATGTTAAGGACTGAAAGGAAGAAAGTGGGTCAATAAAGCTGCTTTGGACATACATTTTAAAATTTATTTATACGGTGGGTATGCCAACATAATTATCCTCTTCCTTCACGTTTGGAATGACTGTCCATAAAATAAAATAAAATAATTATGAGGGAATGTATCTTATTATATAAACACCAGTGAAATAGAAATACAACTTCTCTACTTGTGTTGAAAAACATTTCACTCGTTCGCGGTGCTCACTCGTTAAATATATTTCTACCTACGAAGAGAAATTTCGTATCTCCTCGCGGCCATGTAATATCCTCTATATTTTAAATGCCCAAAATTAATCTTTAATTCTTAGTTTGTGAATAAAATTCATTTTGTTCTAGGTATCCTAGCGAGAGATATTGCCAATCAATCGAAAACATCTTTGACCCAGACCTTAAATCCTTGAGTTTTTCCTTTCCTTCCCCCTCGTTAGTGTGATATTCGGCCTTATCGGACGATTTTTGGTCCTTTTCCTGTCAACTGATTGCAAATCTTGTTATGTTCGTGTGGACCTGAGAGAAAAAATTCCCTCCGATCTTTGACCCCACCAGAACGGAATTTTAGAAAGTGTACATTATAACAAAATATGGTGTCTAATAATAAACCCACTTTACTTCTATTTGAACGCTAGCTGTGACATCCGGTTCAGTTCGACTCAAGGATGGCACCCTATCAGCTGGAAGAGTTGAAGTGTTCTATGATGGTCAGTGGGGAACAGTTTGCGATGATGCTTGGGACATAAATGATGCTAACGTGGTCTGCAGACAGCTGGGTTTCTCGCAGTTAGGTACAAACGCTTGGAGCAGCGCCTATTATGGTCAGGGCTCTGGTCCCATATGGATAGATGACGTGGCCTGCTCAGGTAGCGAATCACATATCTACGATTGCAGACACCGTGGATGGGGAAACAATGACTGTACACACAGCAGAGATGCCAGTCTACAGTGTTCTTATGGTTCTGCTAACATTCGTTTGGCGAATGGCGGTGTTAATTATGGCCGAGTTGAAGTTTATCACAACGGCCGATGGGGCACAGTGTGTGACGATCTCTGGGATATCAATGACGCTCATGTGGTTTGCCGTCAGCTTGGTTTCCCCAGTGCGTCCTCGGCACCTCACGGCGCCCGATATGGCCAAGGATCTGACCCTATCTGGATGGATAACGTCGAGTGCAGTGGAGCAGAAGCTTCATTGGTTCACTGTACACGTAATGACTGGGGAATAGAAAACTGTAGTCATAGCGAGGATGCAAGCGTGGTCTGTAACACTTGACTGACCTGTTTGCACATGCGGCGGCCATGCTTAACTTGGATTCATAGAAATTAGCATCTAAATGTGTATCATGCCTATAATGTTGACACTGATTCTAAAAAGTCCTTACGTGTGACAAGAACGTCGATGAATATACAGACGGAGTTGTATTTCTAAATTAGTAAAATTTCCAGTCTTATTAGACTATTTGGTGACGCTCTGAAGGAGCTAATTGTCACGAGGATTTTGCTTATTAATTTAATTTCAATTCTGTGCCGTGAAGTCATTACGTAGTGCCTTCACACAAGCAAAGTGATACTGTAGAATTGTGAAGAAGATAACAAATTTTGCCAAGGAGTACAGCTGAATCACAATAACTTTTAATAGTGATTTTTGCAGGCATAGCATTAAACTTGTATGTACTGGTATTCTTTGGGGGATATCTCTTTGCTATTTGGAGGAGTTAATCCCAAGGTTGCTTTCTAGAGAGGCGGCCACACAAATTCCTTAATTTGTTTGAAAACGTCAAAACTAAAAAGGATGGAAAACAGATTTTGATTGAGATAGGAGAACTGGAGGTTTTTTAAACTACTTTTCGAATTGGAAGCTTTCGAAGTTAGCGGAGGTCTATCGTTTTTGCGAAGGCGGGCAAAAAAATGTCGCAGTTAGTTACGTACATGTAATGGTCACGCATGACATACGTTTAGATATATGCGTTGTGGGTGGCTTAGACCCAAGTGTCGAGAAAATCGCTTACATGCAAAAACCATAACACCAAAGGTAAAAAAAAAAATGAAGAACTGTTCGGGAACAAATAGTTATTTTTCTAGTCGTATCAGTTGCTTATGCGGATCCACACCGGTTTCCACCGTTTTACGGAAATAATAAAACTTTCCAAGTTGACATCTGGTAAATGGTGTGGAAAAATGTTTCGTTTTTCCAATTTCCGGGAATTAAATGCCCCATCAATGAATCAGAAACTGGGGAAAGAGAACTCCACGAAAATTCCCGGGGCTCCCATAGAAACTTGCTCCCTCGGTCCCTCATTCAGGAAATCGTTCAGTATCAGGAACCTAACAGTATTTATCCTAGATGCGCGCCTGCGTATCTTTAGGCGGCCTTGTAAGGACGAAAATAAAGGTAAAACTTTCCTCCTATGCGGTTTGAATTTCGGCGCGAACGAACTGAAACGAGCAATTTCATCCCAGGGGGAGGGTAAGGGTTGAGAAACATAAAAGACGAAGTGGTAGTACGGCTCGGTTGTACAAAGTTTGTAAACCGTGCCATTCAAACGTGCTTCATTTTATACTCGCCATTATAGTAAGGACAACAAGGGACTTACATAGCAGAATTCGAATTCGAATTCGTTTCAACGCAAAGATGGGGGCTTATACTCGTGGGTGGGGAAGGGCTTATAACCAGATTAACTTTTTGTTGTTGTTTTCTGCTGGTAGATGGGCCGATAACAAGGAAGGTTTGTAAATGAGGGTAGAGGGGAAGCTTATAAGCGGAAGTTCAAGGTATTATTTTGCAACTAGGATAACATCTCTCGGGTCTTTCTCGGACTTCGATGCTATAAGAGACGGAATATCAAGACAATTTGGAAATGTCCTGATTGAAAGTATAAAACACAGAACTCCAGCTTGCGCAGTCGGTGGGGTTTTTTCCCGCGTTTTTCGTTCGTGTTTTGTAAATTAAGAGGCCAAGCGAGAAAACGATGGAGAGGAGGCGAGAGAGCGCCTGCATTTAACCCAGGATTCAACCCCCATAGGTGACTATCACCTCCTCTGGTCTCCTACAAAGACGGTTCCGTAGGCTTTTTACGCAACGATCCTCTGATTACTACGAAATAAATGTGAATAAATAAATAAATAATTGACAAATACGGAGATAAATAAATAGATGAATGAACAAATCCAAAATTTTGGATATCAGGAGATTTAAAATCACGACATGTAAGGAGTGGGAACTAGTGGTTCCTAGGTTTTCTTTGTTGACCATCGTTCATGTAACATTTCCAAGGCAACAGAACTTTCCCCAGCACGTTTTTTGTCTTCTCTTCCATCCGCTGCTAATATTCACTTGGCCAAACAAACAGAGTGATTCCACAGAATACGTCGCTGGTTAAATATGACAATCCAGGTCTTGTAACTAGGAACACTGACAAGAAATCTCCGAGGGTAAATTGATATCTTTCAAATATGGCGTGATCACGCTGGCAATATGAATGTTGAACATGTAGATTGTTTCTAAGATTTCGAGTTTTGCTGTCCTGAATATTAATGTGGTAAAGAATAGTGTTATTTTTACCTCTAAAGCTTTCGAGAAAGGTTACACATCGTTTTTAACTTATTAATGAAGTTTTATACGATAAAAATTTCATAAAGAGCAAACAATTGCTCTTGGACCAACTAATGAGACTCACGCTCAACGCGCACACGAATCACTCAAGACCAACAGGCCACAGGGCACTACTCTATCCCAGCCAAGACGCTTCAACTTGGAGCATGAGAATTAGCTGCGCCGCTAAGAAAGCTCTACAACTCGTGCATCTCTAACGGAAAATGGTCGTGGGAATGGAAGAAAGGAGTATGGTCAGACACCCGTCTTTAAGAAAGACGATCCGCTAGACAGAGAGAACTACTGGCCAATTATAGTCCTCTCTGCCGTGGATAAAGTCCCGGAACAGTTGATTAGTAAACAGATTACAACAAAATTTGGCAACTACTTAGAGCAATGCCTAACCGCCCACCGTAAATCCCACAGCTGTGAAACCACTCTCATTACCCTAGTGGAGCACTGGAAGCTAGCTAAAGAGAAGCGCAATCCGTCGCTGTCTTCTCTACAGATATGTCTAAAGCGTTTGACCCTCTCCACCCACCTCTCATGCTAAGCAAACTGCGAGCCTATGGTTTTAAAGAAAATACATTGAATCTACTATGCTTCTACCTAACTGACCGTCAGAGTCAGACTGGGTCCCGTAACAAGCACCTGGCACACTGTGAACAGGGGATGCCCCCAGGTATCTGCCCTAGGTCCCCTTTCTATGGAACATCTTCGAAAATGACCTCACTTACGAAATTAAATCGGATGTCTGCATGTACGCAGACGACCACCAGAAATGGGAGAGGATCTTACGAAGGTCAAGTTATCACTTGCAATGTAATGCAGAAAAGGCATCCAGATGGTACGAAGTCAACCTGCTTAAAGGAAACTTTTCCAAATACAAGACCATGCTGATGCATAACGACGATAAAGTAACATCAAGTCTGAGTTTGAATATTCAAGGAAATGAGATAGAGCTTACGGACAAGCTACCTCTATTACGCGTGTCAATTGACTGCAATCTGAACTCCAGCGACCATATTAAGATGGCGGCTTATCTGAATGAGATCGGCAATCCTTCGAATCCGTGTTATGTTTCTGATATTAGACAATGTCAGGATGCTAGTGTACTACGCTTCTTTACAGCGGCTACCACTAACACGCGCCCTCAAAGGGTTTTTTCTTCGGTTCAAACCTGCGTTTTGGTGAACGTCAATTATCCGTTACCATGGTTTTTCACGCTTGTTGACCTAGAGAAGATTCTTTCTGTTTCTCGAGCACTCAGAAGAATATGCCGGCGTTTTAGCCATTTTTGCAATATTTTGCTATAGGATCTGACACTGCTTCATGTCAAGATTACGAGGAGTATGAATTTGTTGAGTGNTTTCTCGAGCACTCAGAAGAATATGCCGGCGTTTTAGCCATTTTTGCAATATTTTGCTATAGGATCTGACACTGCTTCATGTCAAGATTACGAGGAGTATGAATTTGTTGAGTGTTTTTCGGAGAAAACTCAAATTATCGACATATTTACACACTGTAAGTTACAACCACATAAGCTTTCCCAATAGACGCTCGCAACTCGTGTGAGTTCTTGCTAGTTCTGTACTCTATTCGATAACATGAAGAATGATAAGTAGTAAAACTCATTTTCGAAAGCAGCCTCAGTTCAGAGGAAAATTTTTCCCTTTTCGGTGTGATATAGCTTCTTGTCAATTCGGCCACGGCTTCCGCGTTTTCATACAATCAAATAAATAAACAACCTGGAAACCGTTACGTAAACTATAGAGAATGATTTGGCTATTTCACTCAGCTCGCAGAGACCTCGTTTTTTAACAATGTAATCCTTCATCTTAATAAAAATAAGTTAAAAAGCCGTGGTCGTTCGAAATTATTCTTGTAAGTCTTCGCCCTTCATTCAGCGATGAGGGAACCTTCTCTGTCAGAGCGCGTGGAAAACCATGGAAACAGTTAATTGACGTCCACGAAAACGCAGGTTTAAACAGAGCGAAAAAATCCTTCAAGGGCGTGTGCTACTGGTAACCGGTGTAAAGAGACCGCGTTTGAAGCCAGTTATTTAACGAAACCTGACGAAAAGTGATGTTAAAATTACTTAGCACCATAGCATAGCAGGCGCTTGGAAGTAGTGGGCGAAAGAGAGAACGAGCGCGCGCGGGGGAGACACGCGAGGGGTGAGGGAGCGCCCGAACGAAAGGCCCACGAAAATCGTTTCAACTCGGAAGTGCGGATATTTCCAATTGGTCGAGAGGCTCTCGAGGGAAAAAGTTATCGCGCGGGGCGAGAAAACTGTCAATCAATAGTACATGCATGGACAACGTAGTGAAGGTCTTATAGGGACGGACCATTAGAAAAGTTATGGTGGTGGTGGGGAATTTTGGAGCCGCAGGAATTTTCTTTCGTTATCAAATTCTTTGTATGAATTTTTTTGGGGCCTTATCATGAATATGTTTTAGGGTTAATTGGCGTGCATGAATTTTTTCCATTTAATTTTCCCTTGCGCGAATATATATTTTTT